GTACACATTGGGACGAAAAAAAAAATGATCGATGTACTTTATTAAGTGTAATTATTGCCTTCCTGCCATGTTTGGGGTATGCCAAGTATAAAAATTATAAGGTTTAGAGATTAGGGACAATGAAAAACGGGAGATGGTGACACAGGAACCCGGTGAAAGAACAAAAGGAAAAAAAAAAAAAAAGATTGTATGAATTTGATAAACTGGAATGCGAGATGATGATATGATGTTGCGTGCCTGTTTTGTGCGTGTATCTGTGTATATGAGAGAGAGAGAGAGAGTAAACGATACGTGTGCCTGTGATAATGAGAAAGAGAAAAGAATAAAAGGAAGAGGTAAAGAAAAATTGGAATGTGTGAATGGAAGAAAGAAAGAAAATGAAAGAAAGAGAGAGAGAGAGAGAGAGAGAGAGAGAGAGAGAGAGAAAGAGAGAGAGAGAAGGTGGGTAGCTCCATTTCGTCAAGATATCGTGCTATTTTTCAAAATTTTACACGTTGCGCGTGATTTTTGTGAACGGGACCCTCGAACCTCCCCGACAATCGAAAAAGAATCTCGGGATTGTACTATATAGTCGATAATGAAGAAAAAAATAAACAAATCAAAGTAAAAAATAATGTTTGTCGGATTGTTAAGAGTTTTGATCTGCGAACTTTAGCCGAGAAATATAAAGGACAAAGAGATAAATTGCAATGGGCGCGTAAGGTTAAAGGTTAAGCGATAAGCAAAGAATAACGAGCTCTTGCACTATTCTTTTTTCTTTCTCCTTTTTTTTCTCTTTTTCTTTTCTTCTTTTTTTTTTCTTAACTCATTTTCTCTTTTTTTTTCTTTTTTTTTTTTTCTTTTTTTTTTTCATTTAAACTCATTATACAACACGTGCAAGAAAATGAAAAGTTGATGGGAACTGGTTGGTTAGGGGGAAAAGGAAAAAAGATCACTTGGCGCTCTTTCACGCATCCTCTCTCCGATTTTCCTCGTATCGTTATTATATACATACATACTTAACGCGATAAAAAGAGAAAAAAAGAAAAAGGAAAAAAAAAAGAAAAAAAAAAAAGAATATATAAAATGTATTTATATACATATATATATATACTCGAGGCCTTCGCCTAACGTTTTACTCGCGATCACGTTCATCGGTAATAGATCTTTCGTAATGGAGACATCGACGGCCCATTCGCCTTTAAAGATTTTTACGTGGGCGTCAGAGCGAGACCAAAAAAAAAGAAAAAAAAAAAAAGAAAAAGAAAAAAGAAAAAGAAAAAAAAAAAAAGAAAAACTCTCAAAAGTGACCTTCGGTAAGATTTTTAATGGTGTATTTTTTTCGGCCTTCACGGTGATAGAAAAGAAGAAAAAAAAAAAAAAAGAAAATAAAAAACAAAAGAAATGAAAAAAAGAGTATTATGAGGGTGGGTGAGAGGTTAGTAAGGAGTGAGGGATGGTTGGAGGGAGGGTTGTTACACGTGAGAAAGAGGGATCATACGGGAATTTATTGAAAATGCAAATGTTTATTCCCAAACGTCGAAAAACACCCTAAATTAATCGTTTGATATGAGTACCATACTCCACGTAGTATAAAATACAAACCGCGATCGCGCGCTTTTTCTTGTAGGAAAAAAAGAAAACAAAGAAAAAAAGATAAAAAGTAAAAAAAAAAATAAAAAATAAAAAAGGGAAAGGAGAAAGAGAAAACGCAAAAGTGCTAATATCTGTCCAGAAAAAAAGAGAGAGAGAGAGAGAGAGAGAGAGAGCGCATCATCGGACCACGTAGAGGGCGATTGACGATGCGCGCGTTAAAATCTCTATCGACATATATGCGGTACATAAATGTTGTACCAAAATTGTTTTTGATGTCGTCACTTTTCGACAAAACGTTTCTTTTCCAAAGACATAATTCTATCTCCTCCCTCTATCACCTCCTCTCTCTCTCTCTCTCTCTTCCCTCACCCCACCTGCCTGTGTGGCTCCTCACTCAAAGGGTTAAATACGGAAGAAAAAGAAAAGAAAAGAAAAGAAAAGAAAAGAAAATCACGTTCTCTTTGATCTCGGCCTCCATGCGAGCTCTGCGCTTGATTTTTCCACAAAACGAACGGGCCACCGATGTCTCATGGGAGCAGGCGAAAGGGAAATGATCGACGTCGGATCGCGAGTAAAGGGACTTTATTACGACTTTAGGCTTAATGTGTTCAATAAGGAGAAATAAAAAGGAGAAAAGGGAAAGAGGAGAAGGGCGTTGAGGAGAAACGAAAATGGTGAAATCAGTGGACGTGCAGTAGGGCGAATAACGGGAAAAGAAGGGAAAAAAAGAACAGTTAAATGAAACGTAGGATGGGAGAAATATATATATATATATATACACATATATAAATATATGTGTAAATGTGTGTGTGTGTATGTATATATATATATATATAAAATGTTTACAGAGAGGCACGTTCGTAGAGTAGCACGCCGAGTATATAGTTTAGAAAAAAGAAAAAAAAAAAAAGAAAAAGAAAAAAGAAAAAAAGAAAAAAGAACAGGAGAAATCGGTAAAATGAGAGGAACAAAGGTCAGTGTGAGAGTGCGAAAAAAGGCGGGAAAAAGAAAGAGAGAAAGGAAATGAGGGTAGGAGGGAGGGAGGGTTCGTAAGGGAAAGAGTGAATGAGAGTGAAAGTGAGAGTATATGAGAAAGAATGAGTAAATGGAGAGAGTGAGAGAGAGAGAGAGAGAGAGAGAGAGAGAGAGAATCGAAGAGGACGTTAAAATTAAATATTGTATAAAAAAAAAGTAGTAAGTGCCTTCCAAACAAAAAAAAAAAAGAAGAAAAGAAAAAAAGATATTTAAAGTGTCCCGTAGACCGTGACCACTTGTAAATGAAGAAAAGTCATTCGAAATTTCGCGTCACTGAATGAAAAATCGTTTGTGGGTTAAAGAAATGAGAGGAACAAACAAAAAAAACGGCAACAAAGAGAGAGAAAAAAAATAAGAAAAATAGGAAGAAAGAAAGGAACGTTCGTAAGGATATTGCGTAAAAAAAGAAAGAAGAAAAAAATGAAAAAAAAAAAAAGAAAAAAAGAAAACACGAAGAAACATATGACGCGCTCCTCTCCTCTTTTGTCTTCGTTCGAACGACCATTCGATTGTTTAATAAAAAAAGCAACAAAAAAAAAGAAACAAAAAAAAAATATCTAACAAATAAATAAAAAAACAAAAAATAAATAAGTAAATAAAAGGAATGCCGCCCGATATATATGTGTGTATATATATATATACATATATATCCGCTGCTCCCGCGCGCGTTCTTTTAAGGATCTTCGAATGAGAGATAAGAGAATGGTGAAAAGGAGAGAGAGAGATAGAGAGAGAGAGAGAGAGAGAAAGAGAGAGATAGAAGGAGAAGGAAAGAGAGAGAGAGACGGAACGAACGACAGAATCAAATAAGAGACTGAGACACTTTACAAAATTGTTATTTCGTACTTACGCGAAGATTTAAAAATAAAAAAGGGGACTTTTCCCTGGCCCACGTAAATTTTAGGATTTTGCGCGATATAGCGATGAGGGGGGAGAAAGGAAGGAGGAGGGGAAAAAATGAAGAAAAATTAAGCGAACTAAAGATAAATAAATAAATAAATAAATAAATAAATAAATAAATAAATACCCAAAAAAAAAAAAATAAAAAAAATGAAACTTTATGAAACAATACGATGTAACGTAAGCGTACGCAATATGTTTATGAATGCGGTTTAGATGAGTGCGTAGATGAGTGGAACGAATGTCCGATACTACTACAAAAGCGAACAACAACAAAATATTTAAAAAAAAATAATAATAATAAAAAATAAAAAAAAAAATAAAAATAAAAAATAAGCGAATAAAAGAAGAAACAAGGCCCGACAAAATTTCTGTTTTGGAATAATCCACACCGGTAATACCCTGAATGGCATGTTCTCGAAAGATTTTGTTTTTCCCTTTTTTCTGAAGAATCTGGGGCGTTGAGAGGAAGGAGTAGGCATATTTAAGAAATAATTAACAAAATAGGAAGAAAGAAAGAAAGAAAGAGAGAGAGAGAGAAAGAGAGAGAGAGAGTGAAAGAGAAAGTATAATCAGAGAGATTGAGAGAGAACGGATATTTCGAAAAACTTTCGTTTCCACGTTTTTGATATATATCTGTGAAACAAGAAGAAAAAAAGATTACCTATATTGCATATTTAAGATATAAGTGAACAAAAAAAAAAGCATCCAATACGCTATTGATATAGAACACAAAGTGAATATATATATATATATATGAGAAAAAATATATTATATATAAATATATATATATAAAAATTGATATATATTGACGCTGTAGGATTACTCGCTGGGTGCATATTTTGCTCCGAAAAAAAAAAAAAAAAAAGAAGGGAAAAAAGAAAAAACAGAAAGAAAACAAAAACAAAAACAAAAATAAATAAGAAATTGGGGGAGGGGGGAGGGGGAGAGTTCGCGCGTTTCCCGGTTACGCTAGCTCCTTCTAGCGTGCGTCGTCTAGAGGACGGAAACAAAAGTAAAAGTTCTTCACGGTGTGGTGTGTTGCGTTTAGATAAGCGTAAATAAAGAAGATTTTAGAGTCAAAAGAGGAAACAAAAAGAAAAGAGAAAAAAAAAGGAAAAACATAAAAAATGATAAGAAGCAACCGTAGCTCGTAGTTATATTTATCGGGGCGATACTCACACGGGAACGGATGTGCGTGACGGTAAATGCTATTTGAAAGGAAAAGGAAGAAAGAAAAGAAAAAGTGAGAGAAAAGAAGAGAGAGAGAGAGAGAGAGAGAGAGAGAAAGCAAAAAAGAAAGAAAACGGAGCGCGAATTCATCCTGATTCGCATTGGGTATAGTCGTTTTAGAAAAGTATACGACCGTTTCATTCTAGTTATCCGAGAGCGACTACGAATATGCAGATATACTTACATGCGTATACATAAACACACACTACACATGTACATACACATATACATAAACATACATAAACGCACACACATACCCATATCCATACAAAAGTATGTATTTACGTCCTATAAGAAAGAATCGTTTAAGAAGGGTTAAAAAGAGTCTCCCTCTTTTTTACCCTCTCGTTGATCCTCCTACTTTATTTTTTATTTTTCTTACTGCGATGTGATATTTTGTTTTTTATTTTTCTTCATTTTTCCTCTTTTATATATATATATATATGTATATATATATATATATATATATACATATATATATTTACGACTCTCTCCACTATAATCGTAAATATCAGTCATTATTTGTGCGACGCCGATAAAAAAATTATCAAAAAGAGGAAAGAGAAAAAAAGAAGAAAAAAAAAGAGGAAAATACGAAATAAAAGGAAACTGCGATCTTTTTGTGAAGATTTTTTTCTTCCTTTTTTCTTTTTTTTTTTTTTTTTTTTTTGTTTTCTTCTCATATCTCTCGTGCCTGCTGTGCCGCGCCGCACATATATCTTCTGGTGTTTCTTTTTATTTTTTGTTGTAATCTTTTTCTTTTCTTTTTTTCCTTTTTTGATATTGTTTTTCTTTTTTTTTTATTTATATATATATATATATATATATATATATATATATATATATATGTATGTATATACATACAGAAACACGCTTCCCTTCCTCCTCCAATCTCATCCACTACACCGTCGATCATAAGTACGTGCAGTCTCACGGTGTGTGTGTGTTACATAGTAAGATTTTTCTAAATAAACGTCACGCACATTGGAGACCCATCCTGGTATTTACTTTTGTCATAGCTTCGAGCAGTAAAAAAGAATATACCGTGTAAAATGACCTTCACGCAGGTGCGGAATGTTAGCAGTTCAATTCGAAAATAGAGGGAAAGAGAGTGTAAGAGAGAGAGATAGAAATAGATAGATAGATAGATAGATAGAAAGAGAGAGAGGGAGAGAGGGAGAGAGAGAAGAAAATGCGGAATTATATATACATACATTGTAATAATATATACTTTCTTTCCAAATGCAACAGAAAAAGAAAAAGATAGAGAGAGAGAGAGAGGGAAAGAGAGAGAGAGAGAGAGAGAGGGAGAGAGAGAGAGGGAAAGAGAGAGAGAGAGAGAGAGGGAGAGAGAGAGAAAGATAGAAAAGATGGATAAAGATAGAACATTCATGTTTTGATGTATTATAACGGAAACGAATAATATGCGAAACGATCAAGTAAACGAGAATAAAAGCTAGAGGAAGAATGAATGTAAAAGAATCGTATAGGAGTCGGGATACGAGGTGAAAGGTCACTGTATATTGTAAAAGTTTCTTTCCGAAAACCTGCGATCCCGAATACATACATACATATATACAATATGTACGAAATATCGCTGCGATTCCGCTTCTCTACGATAGTAGATTAAAAATACCAAGCAAATTAAATAGATGACATTCTTTATTTATCAAAGACGAAGTAAATGGAAGAATAAGAGGAAGAAAAATATGAAGATGAGGATGAAGATGAAAATGAAGATGATGATGTTAATAATGACAATGATAACGATGATGAAGGTGAAAATGAAGATGAAGACGACGATGACACGACGACGATGACGACGATGATGATGATGATGATGATGATGATGATGATGATGATGATGATGATGAAAAAAAAAATTGATGAAGAAGAAAAAAAACCTGCGAAACTATTAGTCGAGACATAGAGGGGCGCACACGTTTTTTCAAACGATAATTATTTAATCGCACACGACGTTGACGCGAGAAACGAACATAAACATATAAACATAAATACATAAATACATAGATACATACATTATATTACATATACACACGTACACACGTAGCGACCTCACACGTGTGAAATCGGTATACATGCGCACGGTAAAACGTGGGCGTCACACACGACGACATGATGTACATTTATACTGATGAGAAAGAAAAGAAAGAAAAGAAAGAAAGAAAGAAAGAAAGAAAAAAAAACAAACAAACAAACAAATAAATAAATAAATAAATAACACAGATATGCAGAATGCAATGCCAGCGGTCATATACAGGATTGTGTTTATTGTAAATAGAGAGAATGCAGCACTGTACGTCAAAGTTTATCGTTATTATTATATTATATTATATATTATATTATATTATTATTATGATCATTATTATTATTATTATTATTATTATTATTATTATTATTATTATTATTATTATTATTATATTATTATTATTATTATTATTATTATTATTATTATTATTATTATTATTATTATTATTATTATTATTAATATTATTATTATTATTATTATTATTATTATCACCAACGCGTGTAACATATTTATTTCAACAAGTTCTCTGGTCGTTGATATCTTTTATATAGTTTAATGTTCAATGCTCCTTCGTTCATTCGAATTCTTCGTTGGCGCTTGAAATCAGTACGTTGATATGTAATGTCTGATATATAATAAACCGACGATCGACACGAGAGAAAGAGAGGCAGAAAGAAAAAGAGAAAGAGAGAGGGAGATAGAAAGAGAAATATATATATATGTATACATACACATATATATATATATAGTATATATACACACATATATACAAGTATCTTCTTTTCTAGTCGGCTAAAATTATTCTTTTTATTTTTTTTTCTTTTTTCTATTATTCTTTTCGAAACACATATATCCTAAGTTGATCTTGAGCAAGAAGAACGAAGAACGGAATGCAACGCACGAAATACATGCGAAATTTTCTTACGATACAGTCGCCTTTTCTCGTATGTATGTATGTATGTATGTATGTATGTATGTATGTATATTGTGTAATGTATGTATGTTGTGTATTATTTCGAGTAAGTCTCGAGAAATTTTCGTTAATTAATTTAACACGTACATATGTATGTATGATATATATGATCGATCTTCTTCTTTTTATCTTCCTTCCTCTTGCTGCTTTTGATCAAACGAAGAAACAATTGCATTTATTATTTACTATCTTTATAATTTTGCGATATAAAATACAATACTATTGTATATGCAATACGTACGTATTACTTTCTTTTTTTTCTTTTTTTCGATATATGTTTTATGTATGCGTGTATGTGTAACGAATTTATTGGAGAAAGTTAAAGGAACAAATAGTGTTTGATTAGAAAGAAAAGCGTTAAACAGCCGACCGAATTGTATGTCTTTGTCTCTTTCACTCTCTTTCTCTCTTCTTCTATCTCTCTCGTTCTCTCTCTCTCTCTCTCTCTCACTCTCTCTCTCTCTCTCTCTCTCTCTCTCTTTTTACATTTTTCGACGAAACACGAGTATAACCTAAGAGATAAAGGGAACGTGTTAAACCGCGAGACGACGTTTTACTCTTTTTCCTTCTTCTTCTTCTTCTTCTTCTTTTCGTTTCTTCTTTCTTTCTTTTTTTTTTGTTTTCGTAATATTTATCTTCTATCCCCCCCCCTTCTTGCGTTTTATATAGTCACACAGCTGCAAAGGAAAAAGAACCGTCACTCATTGTAGGCCCTCTTTTATTTATTACAGATTAGCTAGTAAGATGACGTTCTACCGAAATATGATATACTTATAAATACACCCTATATATAGTGGAGTAAGCGTTACATTACCTACCTACCTAACCTATCCGTACTTAACGGAAGGACAGACAGATGAATCACGCAATCATACATTTAAGTTGCTACTTGGCACGTATACCTAAGTAATATACTAACATAAACAGTATGCAATAACAAATAAATATGAGAAACGAATTGCTTGCTATCGTGTCCCATCTTATAATCCTAATTAAACATCATCCTTCCTTTAACTAAATATAACCTAATGTATCAAAGTAAAAGGAATATCATAAGAAAAGCATTAACTGTATAGCTAAATTCTTCTTTTTTCCTTTTTCTTTTTAATCATTGAATTCGTTTAAAATCATGAAGTATTATATTTTATATTTATTCAGTTATATTAATATTTTATATAATTTTTATTATCTTTCATTAAACATATACATTATTAATATATATATTTCATTTTGTTATAACTTTGAAGTCTCAAAGATGGCCAAGTAAGTATTTTAATAATTATGTATGTTATTTATCAGAAATATTATAATAAGTTTAATATTATAATTTTTAATATAATATGAATTATAGTCAATAATACAATGTATGAGTAATCTTATATCTTATAATTAAATCTAATTATTAGCTTCTTTCTTCTTTAAGCTGTAGAAATGTTTTGAGTAAATTTGATATTGCGGCCTATCTCTTAATGGTGTCAATAATTGCTTATTCCTTGCAGAATTTAATTCTGACTTTTGTGCGGATAATAATATCTTATTTTCCCGAGGTGTATATAAATCTCTATTTATGGATAATGGATCATCAAATTTCTTTTGCACACGTCGACTTGAGACAGGAGTAAAAATATCTTTATCTGTATGATTTAAATCATCTGTATTATGATTTCTTTCACTCTCCTTAGATTCTCTGCAAAATAAAACCATTCCTTTTAACCATTGTATTGTAAAGTTCTTGCAAAGTTTTCTTTATAGAATTATAAAAATATTATCACAGATTTAATTTAGATACATACAAAGCAATATCAGTTATTTTCTTTAGAATTGCACTTCCCTCAGATAAATATGAATCTCCATTCATCGATGAGGTCTTATCAATAGACTTTTTCTTACAACGCCAACCCAAATCAGGAGTAAAAACAACTTCTTGTATATCATCTGAATCATTCAAATCACTTGTTGCAGAAGTTTCTTTAGATTTTCTAAAAAAATAAAAATAATCTTATAATTATATTTTACAATAAAAATAATATAATTGATTCAAATGTAATACGTACATGGTTTCATTGACAATACTTTTATCATAATGATATCCATATTCTTCAAATACAGTTTCTAAGTTATCAATATCTTCTTTTATAGTATTATATACATCTTCAGCTTCCTTAAGAAAACTATTCATTTCATTTATTGCATCTTGATTGGATACATTATCTTGAATCATTTTATTTATATCATCCTGTTAAAAGTTTTTTTTAACGTAAATACAATGCTAAATTTATTTTATAAATAAAATATTTTTTATATATACAATAATCTTTACCTGCGTGCATTGAATAGATTTTTTTAGCACTTCTATGTGTTCTTCGGTTTGTTCTGTCAGATCTGCATAACCACCCACAAAAACGCGAGGTAGATGCCATAGTTCTTCTAATTCTCTAATGCCTTGGTCGACTTTACGTCCTAATGAAATAAATTTATCGAAACTAATAGTAGACATGCCATCAAAACTCTGTCTCTGAGAGCTCGATATTTTTTTTTTAGTTTGAATAAAGTTTTAATAAATATACTTCACGAACCTTCTTAGCAACGGCCGTTTAAAAATCCTTTCAATTTGAAATTGTATGAACCGTGATATACACGTAATGTAGAGGGAATACTTGTTTACGAATGTGTCCGTTGCGCCATCTTGCATACAAATTGACGTGATTCCTCATAAACTACATAATATTGACGCACATATTAGATTTATTGTTTTATTAACACCAATGAGAGGATTTAATTGACTTTATAAATTGCTTCATTTTATTTCCAAAAAAATATAATATTTATAGAAAATGCAGATAAAACATATTGCATTAACCTACACAAAATCGGCCAATAGAAAATCATATACGATATTAGTAGGGTTTTTAATCTTATACGAAAAAATTGCGCTGGCATGAAATTCTTTTTCTAGATCGCATTGTTAGTAATAGTACTTATACAAAATATGAATTTATCCATTAAAAGTAATATATCGTATTACTATATAGTTCGAATATATATAAATGTTAAACAAATTAAATATAAATATCATCATTGAATTCATTGTAATTGATACAATGTAATTGATAAAAATGTCATTTCTCAACAAATAAAAATTATAATTAAAAAATTTGAGACTATATACTTTAGGCATGCACCATGACTTTTTTTTTCTTATATACATACGTCGTTATATTGTAATTTTATAAAATAATTATTTTATTTAGTTGTTCGCACGTTATAATTCTTATATTAACTGACATATTGAAATTATCAATTATTTGATATAACTACAATTGCTTAGTTTAATATTCTATATAATGAATAATTATTGCCCTCAGCAATAGATAGATTTCACATCAAGTCTGAAAGTCCCTTCAAATACATATTTTGACAAGAATCATGAAATTGATAAATATAGAGAATGTATGGAATCACCATAAATTGAAATGACATTACCAGACAAGAAAAAAGTAGTGAAGAAATTTCTGAAAAAGCAAAGAAATCTATACGACCCAAAAATAAAAATTAAAATAGCAGACATCTGATGTTAATGAAGAAGTAGAAATTGAATTAAATATTATAAAAAATACATTGATAAAACTAATATATACTTCTTCCTATTCATTAGATGATAGTAGTAAATGGAAACTTTTTAAAATAATATTATATAACGATGTCATGTAAGAAATTATAGAAACCTTACAGAATTGTGTATTAATACTATCAAATGTTTTTAAAGGACAATGTAAATTACAAATATTGGGTTGGCAACTAAGTGATTGCGGATTTTGTCGATAGATGGACTTTACACTTTCTTTTGTTTTGTTAACCTGGTCATTGCATCTAACTTATATTTTTTTCTTATTATTTGGACTTCTGCCTTTAATTTAGTAAAACAATTATATCGATTAGTGCTTTGGTTTTGTTTTTATCCAAATTTAAAAATGGAAGAACAAGACGTGCACTTCAGACATATTTTATTGTATTACTACCGAAAAGGCATGAACGCAGCGCAAGCACAAAAGAAATTATGTGCCGTATATGGAAATGAAGCCTTGAAAGAAAGGCAGTGTCAAAATTGGTTTGCCAAATTTCGTTCTGGTAATTTTTCACTGAAAAATGCTCAACGATCTGGCCGTCCAATTGAAGTCGATGAGATCCATATTAAGGCCATTATCGATTCAGATCGTCATATTACAACACGTGATATTGCGGAGAAGCTCAATGTATCGCATACATGCATTGAAAAAAAATTGAAAATGCTTGGTTATGTAAAGAAATTCAATTTATGGATCCCTCACCAGCTTAAGGAAATTCATTTGACGCAACGCATTAGCATCTGCGATTCGCTTCTAAAACGCAACGAAACTGATCCATTTCTGAAAAGCCTAATTACTGGCGACGAAAAGTGGATAGTTTATAACAATTTCAAACGCAAGAGATCATGGAGCGAAAAAGATAAACCTGTTCAAAACATTTCCAAAGCCAATATCCATCAGAAAAAGGTGATGCTGTCTGTTTGGTGGGATTTTAAAGGAATTGTTTTTTTTGAGATTTTACCGGATAACACAATAATTAATTCGGAAGTCTACTGTCATCAGCTGGACAAACTGAATGATGCACTTCAACAGAAAAGGCCAGAATTAATCAACAGAAAAGGTGTAGTGTTCCTCCAAGATAATGCGAGACTTCATACAAGTTTGATCATTCGCCAAAAGCTTTTACAGCTTGAATGGGATACAATCCCACATCCACCATATTCTCCAGATCTGGCACCTTCGGATTATTATTTGTTCCAGTCACTGCAAAATTTTTTAGATGATAAAACCTTCACTTCAAATGAGGAGATCAAAAACCACGTCGAACAGTTTTTTGCCAGCAAAGACCAAAAATTTTATGAGCGTGGAATCATGCAACTACCAGAAAGATGGCAAAAGGTATTGGACCAGAATGGCCAATATATAATTTAATAAAATATTTGTTCATTATATGAAAATTATATATATATTGGGTTGGCAACTAAGTGGTTGCGGATTTCAAATAAGGAAACGACAAAATCTGCAATCACTTAGTTGCCAACCCAATAAAATATACAAATGCTTAGGATTTCAAAATAATAATCAAGTCAACTATTCATCTAATAAACCAACATATAAATTACGGAACGTTTATCCTATGAAGAAATAAAAAGTTTATCAATTACTATTATTAAATGACATTGATACAATATCATAAAATAGTTTGCTTAATCCTAATATAACGCCAATAAATTTGTTAAAAAGTCATGAGTATGATCAAAAGAGTTAGATTGTAATAATAATTCTGCTTATCATACATCTAACAATTCCATGTTATTAATTCCATTAAATTATCATGAAAAATAAATATATGCAACAAGCAAAATCTGTGTAATTGTCATTAGAAAATGGTAATAGTAGGAAACAGAACATTAAGTTTTTCTTAATAAAAAAAACAGAGTCTTATATTTCGTAGATATTCTAAGTTGTGCTGTTTTCAAGTATCAAAATAAAACTCCAGAAAGGTTTCATACTCAAAGTCAAAGCAAAAAAACAAATACAAAGAATCAAGCCAATTAGAAAAAAGAAAAGGAATTAAAAATATCCTTCAAACTCCATATTCTAAATAGTTTCTAATGAAGATGTATCAAAAGATCTAAAAGAATTATGATAATATAATCAAAGAAAGATTTTATCCAAACATTTATACTTAAAAAGTATCAAAATACTTAGAATTTCAAGATAATAATCAAATCAACTGTTCTATCTAGTAAACAAACAGAACAAATTGTAGAAGATTTATCTGATGAAGTCATAAAAAGTTTATCAAGTAAATTTAATATTATCTCAGTATATCTCTTAATGATGTTAATAATTGCTTATAGGTTATGGAATATTTTTTGATTTTTGTATGAATAATAATCATTGTATTTTCCTGAGGCATATACAAATCTCTATTTACGTATAATAGATTATTAAATTTCTTTTGCACATGTCAACTTCAGACTTGAGAAAAAATATTTTTTTTTTTATATAACTTAAACTGAATTAATCTGAATTATGGATTCTTTCGGTCTCCTTAGATTGTCTATAAAATAAGAATGTTTTTATAAGCATTGTATTGTAAAACTTTTGTTAAATTTTTTGATAGAATTATAAAAATATTATCACTGATTCAACTCGGATACATACAAAGTGATATCAGCAGTCTTATTTAAGATTGTGCTTTTCTCAGATAAATATGAATTTATCGATTATATCTGATCAATAGATGTCTTTTCTTTTACAATTCCAATCCAAATTAGAAATAAAAAAGAATTTCTTGTACATCATCTGAACCATTAGAATCATTTGTTATAGAAGTTTTTTGAATTCTCTAAAAAATAAAATATTATAAATATTATCTTTCCCATCAAAAGTAATATAATTGATTTCATTTACAAATTAAGAACAAACGAGAAATGATATCTATATTTTTCAAATATAGTTTCTAAATTATCAACATCTTCTTTTAAAGTATTATATATAATCTTGAGATAGATAGTCTCCTGAAAGACTATCCATCTCATCTGTTGCATCTGAATTGGATATTTTATTATCTCTGATCACTTTCTTTGTATCATATTATCAATGTTTTTTCTAACATAAATTCAATACTAAATTTATTTTATAAATAAAATATCTTTTATATATACAACAATCTTTACCTGTCCGCCTTGAATAGGTTTTGTTAATTAAATTATTATGTATTTTTCCATCTGTTCTGCGAAATCTACATGGCCATCCACAAAAACGAGTGGCAAATGCCATAACTCTTCTAATTCCTGTATTTTCGTCGAGTTTAGGTCTTAAAGAAATAAATTTATCGAAACGAACAATAGAAATGACATAAAAAATTCTATCCGAGAACTCGATATTTCTTTTTAATTTTAATGTTCAAACAAGATATTCCACGAACTTTCTTAGAAACGATAGTTTGAAAATCCTTTCAATTTAACATCGTATAAACCACGATAAAATGTAATATAGAGGGAATTCTTATTTAAGAATGCTTTCGTTGCGCCATCTAACGTACATAATCTTACTGATGATACCTCGCAAATACAAAAAAATTAGATTTATGTATTTGTTAATATCACCACATGATTTAATTGATTTTACGAATTTTGTTATTTTATTTTCAAAAAATTAAATATTCACAACAATATAGATAAATATATTCCGTTAAACCTATATGAAATAAATAAATAGAAAATCGTACATAATAGTAATAGGAATTTTAACGTAGTACCGAGAAAATGGTACCGTTAGGGAGATTTTTTTTTACGGTTGTATTATTAGCAACAGTGTTGGTACAAAATATAAATTTATCCGTTAAAGTGACATATCGTTTAAGTTCGAATATATAAGTGTTGAATAGATGAAATAAAAATATTATTGTGAATTGTATTAACATTTTTTTGATAAATATTATCTCATTATATAAATATAAAGATCACAATTGGTAGGTACAGTGGAATTGATAAAAATGTCATTTCTTAAAAAAAAGAAATTTTAACTTAATGATTTTAGACTATATATTTTTTTCTTTGACATATTCCTTGTCATCTATTTTTTTTTTTTATAAATTATTATATAGTAGTTTAATAAGATAATTATTTTACTTAATTATTTGTATTTTATAGATATATTAAATGACAGATTGAAACTAGCAATTATTTGATATAACTGCTATTGTTGTTTAAACAATCATTATAATGGATAATTATTGTTCTCCGCAATGGGTAGATTTTACATCTAATCTAGAAGTGCCTTCAGATAATTATTTTGACGAAGATCATGAAATTGATAAATATAAAGAATGCTTGGTAGCATCACAAACTGAAGTAACATTAACAGAAACAGAAAAGAATGAAAAAATTTCTAAGGAAACAAAAGAATCTATAAAATTGGAAAAGAAGAATTTCATAGAGTCCTCATCTGATATTAATGAAGAAGTAGAAACTGAATTAAATATTATAAAGAATACACCAATAAAATTAATGTATACTTCTTCCACTTCATCATATGGTAGTAGTAAATGTAAACTTCTTAAGAAAGTATCATATAACGATATCATTCAAGAAGCTATGGAGAACTTACAAAATTGTGTATTAACACCATCAAACGTTTTTAAAAAACCAATGCTAATTACAAACGAAGCATCAAAATTAGAATTTCAAGATAATAATCAAGTTAACTGTTCATCCAGTAAAGAAATAGAACAAGTTACAAAAGATTTATCTAATGAAGAAATAAAAAATTTATCAGCTTCTATTACTAAACATGATATTGATACAACACCACAAAATAATTTGCTTAATCCTAATAAATCATCAATAAATTTGTTAAAATACAATGAGTTTGATCAAAAGTTAGATTGTGATAATAATACTGCTTGTCATACATCTGAAAATTCTACTAAATTTTCATTGAAAGTAAATATGTGCAACAAACAAAATTCATGTAAATCAATAGAAAAAAGCAATGGTAGGAAACAATCCAGAACATTAAGTTATCAGTGTAGAAGACAGAGTCTTACATTTCGTAGACATTCCAATCGATATATCAGTTCAGCAGCAGCTGTTCTTCAGTATCAAAATAAAACTCCAGAAAGATTTCATAGTCAAAGTAGAAAAAAACAAAAAGAACCGAAGATTAATGAGACGAAAGAGAATCATTTAAAATTAAAATCTACAAAACAGAATTTGTCAAATTCTTTATTCCAAACAACTTCAAATAAGAACGTTACATTGACAGATGTAAAAAAATCAAAATTAATAAAGTCAAGCGGATCTTGTTCAAATGCTTCTACCAAAAGAACATCTCGTAATAAAAATGTTTTTTCCGCAATTGTAGACAATAATGGTTCAGGATTAGTCATCAAAAAAGAAAAAATTTTATTCTATGATATTCCTATAGATTCCAAACAAAAGAAAACTACACGTCCTATACCTTTTAGTTTCGAAAATCGTGATAAACTAAAGCAAGAGTCTAAATTAAAACAGTCGCAGCTTAATAAAAATGATAATAAAAATATTGAAAATCTCCCGAATAAAAAGAATTTAAGTATGATAAAAGGAGGATCCTCTTTATCTATATCTTCAACAAATAGTCAGAAAAATACAAGTGTAAATATACGTGAAAAAAAATTATTAAAGGTAGAACAAGAAAATAAACAATGTGATGTCAATGCTTCTACAAGTGAAATCAATATAGATCGAAAAGGAAACATCAAACCAAAAATTATGAAAATCGGAATGAATTCTTATGAGAGAGCGAAACAAAGACATGAATTTGATGAAAAGATTAAACAAAAGATTATTATGCAAGAGAAAGAACGTCAAAAAGAAGAAGAGAAAAAATTGGCTAAGGAAAAATTACAAATAGCTGTGCTTCGTAAGCAGACAGAGGTGAAAGCAAGACCTATGCCAGTATTTAAACCACCCCGTCATATTAAATCTTTGAAACCATTAACTGAACCGCATAGTCCAGCTTGGGCGCATAAAAATAAAAAATCAACTTCATAATATTTTTTCTAAATAGAGTATAAATATATTATATTGTATAAGTATATTGCATATATTCCATTTTATTTAAAATATTTTTTTATGTAAATATGTAAAAGAATATATGTATATGTAAGATAAGTAACATATTAAAGTATTAATACTAGAACATTATAAAGGCATTAATATTAGTTAAGAAGTAACGTCTTTTTTAATATTTTTTCTTGACATACTTATTGCATTGGACACAATAATTATAATTTAATATTTTTAAATTTATGACTTTATTAAATATTCCTATATATCAAATATATTAATACATTTTCAAATTAAAAAAAAGTTTATATTTTTTGCATTTAAAACTTTATTATCAAATAATTTCGTAATAATACGTAAATTATTGAAATATAAAATATATGAAATATTGAATGCAATATTGAATAAACATTATTTTGTTCAATTTTCTTTAAACTTTTTATTATCTAAAACCTGCAAATAAGAATTTTTGGGTTAAGTTTGTAATAATTAATTACGGAAGTTTTTTTTAACGAATTTAAAAATCACGCGCTAAATAACAAACAGATTCATATTTTATCATATATATTCTCTCGTTTTATTTCGAAATTCCTATCTACTCGAATTATGATCACCTATTGGCCAACAGTTCGTACCATTGGAAAGTTAAGTTTCTTTGAAAATGTAACGAAAATTAGATCACCGTTATATGACTTTCTATAAGAATATTATTAATACTTTATCTTTACGATTTATTTTTTATTAGAAATATATAAAATTTTTATTTGAATAATAAATGAAGCAAAATAATATATTTTTGTCAATCGAAAATACTAACTGTTAACTGATAGGTCAAGGAAAATGGAAGGTTACGCTCATAAGATATATACGTTTGTCTTTATCTCTTACACGTTAGTCCTCTTTGGTCCTCTTATTACTACGAATCAGCTGCGGGTGGGAGTGCGTGGTTCTGAAGTAAGAAGTCGTCATACCTCATAGTACGTCCATTTTTAGATGCAAACGTTTATAACTACCATTTAAAGTGAATATGCTAACGAAATAGTGTTAATTGTTTTAAAAGGACGATCGGACAGTATTTAATATGATATTATTCGAAATATTACATATGATTAATAAGTGTACGATATAGTGAATGATACGGGTAATGGTTATTGTAAAATTAAAAAAAATGCTCTTCAAGAGACATCGGTAGCAATGTAGCTCGTATCATTAAAGAGAAATCACTTGTGATTTTATTGTACAGATTATTTCGATTAATTAAGATTAATAATATACTCATTGTTCCATGACTTCCCTACTCAATAATACGTGAGTAAACGAATTTCATAATAATAATTTGTAATTCTTCACGCGAATTAGACACGAATGCGTTTTAGTGCGAATAAATGGTAGAAATGATTATATTGGAATATTAGACATTTTTCTACCATGTATGTATATACATATATATATATATACATATATACATATATATATATATATATATATATATATATATATATATATATATATATAATATTAATTAGTAACGTAATAAGTTTCATGAAGAAAACATATATTTTATGAATATTAAAGTAATGACTTTTTTTAACAATCCTTATATGATTTTAGGTTAGCAAAAAATGACAGTATTAGAATCAGAAGAAGATACAGATAAACGGTCGGTGCCACCTACAAAAAAATTTTGCTTATCTATTTCAAACTGCGAACATACATTTCCTAATACCATTCCACAGCCCCCTCATACTTCTTTTAGAGGGGGCCTCTTCGACAGACCAGATCTCTTATACAGTACGTATATATTTAATTATATCATATTCTATTATATTTATTCTGTTTTTTATTATGATATTCAAAATATTATTTGTATTACGTACAGCCAGAATGATGAATGGTTATCGCAATCAATTGAGTAATCATCAGGATGGAAGTTACGATATTTCAGCATTAGGAACAGAAGGATTAAAAATAGCGACTCTATGTAATCTAGGAAATACATGCTTTTTGAACAGTGTTATATATACTTTAAGATTTGCACCATCCTTCTTACACAATTTACATCATCTTGCTACTGATCTATCAAATTTAAATGATAAGCAATTACAAACTAAAGTAAATTTTCTTGTTTTCATATAGATATTGATGCATATTAAATTGATACTAGTATTGGGTAGTAATCATTTTATTATGACAGATCAAATCTTCATCCTTGGGTAGAACCGGTGTATCATTAACAGCAAGTGGTAGTCGTAGTTGGAGTAGTAAAGATTTATTGGCCTTAGCTGGTCCAACCGGAGAACTTAACAAACCTCGAATACAAATAGCAACAGAGAAATTACATAGTTTATTTATGGCACTACGTGCATCGGAAGCAAGGGAGAACTGTGAACCATACCAACCAGATGCATTTTTACA